TGTAATGTCAAAATACTAAGTCTATAGTTTCATACGAATTAGGAACTCAAACTATTGATATTGACAAGCTGGAATATAAAATAAGAATCTCATATTTTCTATTTGCTAAGATGTTGCTCATGTACTGAATCAAACACAGTTCCCCCACCCCACTCACCTTTTTCCATTTTTTTAAATGCTCCCTTATATACACTTACTTATATATATGACATGAATAACCAACAAGTCACAAACTCAGAATGTCCCCCAAGTGGATTTCTCAGCCATTTTGATGTGTTATTGTGTTAATCTCGTTCTTTTCACATAAGATTTTAAATGATAAGGTAAGTCTTTTAGTGAGCTCGAACTATTCTTACTTCCACACAGTACCTCATACATTTAGGGATGTTTTTCAATTCCAGACTCAGCCAACCTTCTCCTCTATTCCTTCAGGCCATGGAACAGGTTGTTCTTCAAATACAGTTGATTCTATCTCCACCAGCAAGCACCATTCTCTCTCGCTTTTGAGGATTTGGGCATCCTTGGAATTACTCATTTCTTTAGGTCGGGTCCATATAAAGGTCATTAGGAGACCAGTGGAACATTTGCACAGATGCATTGGATTGTCCAGTGTGACTGTTGGATTCCAGTGTGCTGGATCTCGGTTGGGGGTTGAACAGAGACAACTCAACTGTAGGTGTTCCTCTATCACCTCCATGGCCAGAAATACACATGTTCACTGATGCTTCTCTTCAGGGCTGGGGCACTTGTATAGACAATATGGAATTCAAGGAACTTTGGACTGTAGAGAAAGCTTCTCTCCACATCAATATCTTAGAACTTTTAGTAGTTTAATGAGCTATGACTCAGGGTTACGAATTGTTGTGAGGGAAGGGTAATGCTTCATTTGGACAATTCCACAGTAGTCTCATCCTTTTCAAAGCAAAGGGGCACTCACTTCAGATCTCTTTGTTTTCAAACAGTAGATCTTCTCTTTCCTTTTCATGTTCCAGAGGTAATGAATCAAGTGGCTGGCCAATTATTGCGTCCCAACAGAGCTCTTCCTACAGAATGGATGCTTCTTCCTCAATTTTTTTTGTTGGATCTGCTCTTGTCTTGGGACACCACAGATTGAGGCTTTTGCCACACATTAAAATGCTCAGCTCCCATACCTCACCCTCTGGCTTTTGGAGTAGAAGCTCTCAGCCAGGATTGGATGGTTCTTTATCTTTGTTTTCCCTCTGATTCATCTGCTCTTCATGGTACTGGCATTGATTTGCTCCATGTCCTGTTGAGTTCTTTTAAGCCTCGGTCAGACTTTTTTCCTTCAGCAGTCAGCGTTATTCGACTTCACTTCTGCCTTTTATGTGGTCCATTGCATGACATCTTGAGTGGCATCCTTATTAACACATTCCATTCAACATTCTTCTTTGGAAGTTTATCAAAGGAAATGGTTTACTTATCATCAGTGGTCTCTCAGATATGGGTGTAACCATTTGCATCCCACTATGCAACATGTCTCAATTTTTGACACGGTTGTTTGTCAAAGGTTTGGCACCATCAGCCTTCATCTGATGGCCTATATAAGGCTGCTTTATCAACTCCTTTTTGCAAAAAAAAAAAAATTTTTGAGTCCCTTTTTTTGGTCATTACTCTTCAAATCATTTCAGGTTATCCATCTTCGACACCCTTTCTGGGTTCCGAACTGTGATATCACAGTGGTTCTCCATGCATTATCACGACCATCTTTTGAACCTTTGGGTTCATGTTCACTATATCATCTTTCACTTCCAACATGTTTTATTCTATTATTGGCTAGCGGGGGCGAGGTTCAGTTGTGTTTGCACTCCATATTCACAGGACACTGTACCATTCCAACTAAGTTCTTTTGTATGCAGTCAAGGTCCTTTCTACCTAAAATTGCAACATCTAGGGAAGGAGATAAGGCTTTCTCTTCTATTCATCTTCCCTCCCTTTACCAACTGTATGACCTTTCGGATCCTGATCATCTTTTATACTGTCTTGTTCAGGCTCTCTGATGTTATGTGCCATGCACTGAAGCATTTTGGGGATCACTTCACAGGTTTTTTATCCATTCGGATCCTTCAGTTTCATGCAACATATCCCTTGTCACTTTGACAAGTTGGAGTTGTCACTTGGTTCGAATAGCTTACTCTGGTCTTTTATTGGAAAAGCAGAAACTTCTTTGAGTATCATCTCATCAAGTTCGACATATATCAGTATCCTGGCAGCTCAGTTGCATCACCCGCTGGAGGAAATTGTACAGGCTGGCATTTGAATCACACGTAACATCTTTATATCATGCAATTTCCATGATTTAGTCTGTCTCGTCCTCTGATGGGTTTGGGCTATTCTGCATGCTCGATTGTGAGAAAGGTGAGTAACTTCATTTCTTTCCTTTTCAGAGACCTTCTCGTCATTCTCATTAGGATCCCACTCTTTGGACGAGTGTTGCCTGGTCAGGTATGATTTTACAAATCCACACTAGCTACCAGTAGACTAATAACTAAATTCCTGGTAGCAATAAGCTGTTCAGATGGAGTGTTTCATGAGACTGCCTTGGTGCTTTCTGGGTGCTGAACAACTGTTCTATATACAATCACATACAATACAGGATTGCCACTCATGGACTGTCATGAGTAAAGCATAAGGGGACTTAGCCCATCCCTGCTATCTCCTGGATTGAACAAATCTGGGTTGGTTTGCTTTTCAAAATAAGGAATGTGGTTCACCTATTTCACTGTCTCCGGAGCATTGTCCCTCAGGACTTCCCAATGTGAGTTCCCCCCTCTCTTCTAGTGGACCAAGGGGGTCCTTACCACTCTCAGTTTCCAGTTGTTGGAATGGTGGATAGAGACTATTCCTCCTGAGTGATTTCTGTACTCTATTCTACTCAAGGAGAAGGAGACAAAGATGGTTACCATCCCACTCTTAACCCTGGATTGTTTTTCCCAAGTGTTGGTCTGGGAGCTGGTCCAGCCTAGGTGGGAGCCTCCATGTAATTCCAGTTCAGAGATGACACTTCGCTATCCGGTTGTGTGAATGTGTTCCTTCGTTTTGATCATTCTCTTACTTTTTATGATCATGGAAGAGTGTCCTCAGCTCCTCATAATTTCGCATGAGGAGTGTCACCTCCATGAGCCATTGGTTGAACTTCATTTGCTTCACATCTTCCTTGTAATTCTGGGGTGTTACCTTCCCTCCCAGGTTGAGGAGTTAGGATTTTGGTTTGTAATCCCAGGTCGGATGATCTCTGTTTCTTCAGGTTGTGTGAGGTGTGAATTGGTTCTGTAATTCTGAGTTCAGTTTGTTGCATTCTGAGCTTCTTCAGGTTGTGAGGAAGGCTTATCCTGTTGGATGTTGCTTGCCTTCCTTTTGTAATTCCAGTGACTTGCATGTGACATTCTGTAAATTTCAGGTTGGGTGCCTGGGCCCATAATTCTAAGTTCAGTTTGTTGCATGTTGTGCTTCTTCCGGATGGAGTGAGGGTTTGTCCACTTAGGTGTGGTTTGTCTTCACTTCGTAATTCCAGTGGCTTGACATGCAACATACTGTAACATATTGAGCTCCTTTCCTATCATATTTCTATTATGGTTATGATCCACTTCAACCATTCTATGGTCATTTCCAATATCAAGGTGATACCTGCTGTGGGGATCTTTGCTTCAAAGTGTAGAATTTTCTGTTTTAGCTCACTCACATCGGGTGCATCTGACAGCCTGTCACATCCTAAGGCTTTGAACTTTGTGGCAGATCAACTCTTAACCAGACATAAATTAGTGATCTCATCCAATGGTATATTAGTAAATAGAGATTCTACATAAAATCTTACAATTACTATGCTATATTCAAAATCTGATTCTTTGATGTTATCAAGAAACTCAAAAAAAGTTGTCTTTCAAGGTATACTCATTATATATACAAATTCCTTTAAACCAGTACTTGAAAATTTGGCTGTTTATATAACATATTTGATACAATATGTTAGTTAAATATTTCCACTGTGAGAAGGAAAAGTCAGGGAATGTCAGTGATGCCACAGTAGTCTGGAAAGAGGTACTGATGGCTTTGTAAATCATTAGTTTGTTTTTCTAATTCTATATATTTATAATACAGGATTGTGTACAGGTACTAGTAGAACTACTACAACAGAGCAAACTAAAGAACATACACACACACACACACACACACACAAAAAGACTTATTAACAATCTGATATATACATTCATGTACTTTTAAATTCATAACTTTTACTAAACATTGATACAAGGTCATATACAAGCTTCATGATAATCAGTATTGAAATCTTTTTCATATGCAAAGTAGTTAAAGCCTAAACATTTTGCTTCACAATTACACTCATTTCTTTTATAAGCTTCATTACTGTGTGAAATATTTTGTATGTAGATTTTATTAGTTCCACTGAAAACCTAATATTAACATAATAATTTTGGTAACATTAGGACAAGATTGATATGTCAAGTATGAAAGAAGTCTTGGAAAGCATTAGGTAAGTAGATCTCATATTTTTCATTATTAAAACTGTACATTATTTTCAGCTTGAAGGTGTATATCTCAACAATATTTATGTATACACTGTGTACCTATCTGTCTCATCTTTTTTTAGTTTTTAAATAAATTCAGGATAGATGAAGAGGGCAGTAGTAACATTATTACATAATTGTATTGACATGATTTTTGTCTAAGAATACTTGGCAGAAATTTTGTTTTATTATATTACATCCACTTAAATTGTACAAATCTGTTATATGCCACAAAGGAGGTTGTTCATCGTCTTTTTAAAGAGGGTTAATGGAAATAGTTATGAAGGAGGCTTATGTTCTGTTTAATGGGGTAATGTATGAACAGAGAGGTGAAGTTATTGTGGGATCAACTTTAGAGTTGATTGTGGCCAATGTCTTCATGTGCCATCATGAAAATACTGGTTGAATGAAAGTCCCAATAATTTGAAATCATGACTGTATCTGAACAGAAATCTTATAAATAATACATTTAGTGTTGTACTAGAAAAAGAATCTGCTTTATCATTTTTGGCCACTTTGGTTATAGATAAAGGAGATGAGTTTGATGTATGTATGTGTGTATCATAAACCAACTTTATTTAATAGTTTTATACATATAAAGTTTAACCCTATTGCCCGAGGTATCCTTCACTGCACATGACACAGGGATTTAGTGTCTTACATTCAAAATTTCATTAAACTACTTTTTGTTTATGTTATACCAATTAGAATAGCATAAAATCTCAGCTTATAATCCATATTTTAATAGTATACAAGTTTTAAGTTCTTTATTCTACAAGGCAATATTTTAAAAATCCTGAATTTCCACTAGTGTGACCCACATGACACATTTTCTCTTAGCATGTCATCATCCCTATTCTATCCATCACCCCTCAAAAATGTATGAAATTAAACGTAAAATACTGTCTGTAAAATCGTTATTGCTCAAACAGACCATAATTTTTTATAGCCTTCAATTTTGTTTGGTTACCGAGCTATCGGATAGAAATTCAGACCCATCCTGCCACATCCACCTGTCACATCCTCTTTTTCACAATTTGTTGAGAGTTCTCTTGTACGTTTCATTATATATTACCCATAACCAACGGAAAGTCAAAGTTTTTCATCTATCAAATGATGTATTATATAACGTGTTCTGAACAGAATATCGTCAATTTCAGTCAGAGTACAAGATTTGTTCCCATTGGAAAGTTAATGACTAGCTTGGATTAATTTGTAACGGCTCTTGTTGCATAGTTAGAAAGCCAGGAAAATTTTGAGAGGTAAGTGAATGTGTCTACTTTTTGTATGTTATTAGTCTATATTCTTTGGTGCATTATTTAATTAGATAAATATTATTAAGTATATTACTGTCTACAGTATCAAAAAATTAGGGTTAACTCCCTTCGAAAACCTGAGAGCAAGAAAAAGGAGATTGGGTAAGTACTTTATTTCTTGTTTTTCATATTTCTTCTTTATTTATTATTATAAAAGTAACTAAAATCTAAAAATACGGATCTTTTTAAGTTATTTAAGACTAGATTAGGTAAAATAAGTAATAATAATAATATAATTTAAATGGTTCACAAGGCATGCACGTGAGCTGCATGTTCCTCGAGTGATTTACTATTTATAATGGTGCGGATAGTAGTTAAACATGGTTCAAAGGGCAATAAAACAATAAAATTTAATTATAAATAGATGTATGCTGTTTAAAACCTAGAGCTACTTAGGATAAACAAATGTAGTTTAATGTTAGAATTTGAAGTCATTCCAGAAAGAAAAAAGATTAATTTAGGTTTATTTCAATTTTTTTTTGTGTGGTTATGAGGTCGGTCAAATTGACCAATCCCATTTTGAGATAGAGTAGAGAAAATAACAGATAAACTATAAAGTTTTAGTGAAAAAAAACACGTTTGAAATGCATTTAAGAGGGATTACACAAAGGAAATTTGACATTTTTGAGATGAGGAAAAGTATTTTTAATTTTATCATGAAAATTACTTTGCACACGAACTATTCAAAACAAGTATTCAATATATTAATGGACAAATCTTTAATTTTAGTTTATTAAAAATACTTGACTAAAAATATGGTTTTTTGTATGTAAAAAGACTTATAATGGTAACTGAAAGACTGCCAAATTTTGTGAAAATATACATACTATATTGAATGTTAGAAGTATTAAATCTATAAAGACTTTAATCGAGTACAAAGAGGTCACATGGTCACTCAAATTGAGAGAGTTAAAGAAAATTTGGTTAAGATTTTGAGTTACTGGACCTATAATTTTACCAACATATACAAATTGTTTTATAATGTGTAAGAATGTAATGAAATATCTTGGTAAAGAGTGTAGAAAGAAATACAGTTGATGAATTCCTGACTGATGTTTCTAACCCTCAGTAAGTCATATACAAAGAGGGTTATTCATGTAATGCTACCATTTACTAGTATGCATGATAAGCAAATAAAGAAACAGTTGAACAGTGTAATTAAAATAGTGTATCAACAAATTCAGTTAAGGTTTATTTTCAAATCAGTTGTGAGAATTGAGAACTATTTTTTTTCAAGGACACGATCAATATGCTCAGTTGCACCGAGATCTTCTACAATTATGAGTGTCCTGTGTGAAGAGATATATATTTATTGGGTCAAATATACATCATGGAGAATATATGGTTTTGATAGCAGAAACGAAGAAAGTTATGTCAAAATATTATTCAGCTATGACCAAAATATAACAACTGCTCAATTTTTATTTATTTATTCAGTAGAGAATAAATATCAACAAAGGATAAAGAAAGTTTGATGGTTAAGAACCTAAAACCTCAAGTAAATCAGAATTCAATGGTAATCAATAAACATCTATACTTGCTGATACCTAGGTAACACATCAGACGTGTATAAGAACTTAATTCAATCATAGAGATTTAATTAGAAAAACCAAATGAGTGTGAGATATGTTATATACAGTGCATAGGGTTATATGAATGATGTGTGTATATACTAATGTTGTACCCCTGGAGATACAAGCCTCAGTGCAATGACAACATATATAGCACCTGTATATGTGGTTCTTTACAAGTTACTGACCCATTGAAAATGCAGAGCTTATAGTAGACTTAGAGCTGTAGGAATATGTAACAATCCCTGTTGAGGAAGGATGTTTGTATAGGTAAAATAAAGGTTAAAGGCAAAAGATGGCCATGCATCTCAGGAAAAGTATGCAACATTATCAAAAAGGATTTCCATCTGAAAAGGTATCAAGGCATCTGTGCATAAGTTACTTCAACATATCCAGTGGAGGAAAACCAATTTTAGAAAACTATATAAACAGAAAAATGGCAGTACGAGGTAACACTCGATGAAACGTTTGTACCTTGATAACTGTAACAAGATTTGTGCCTGCCATTTTCTACTAGCCAATGGGTGAAACAACTTTCCAAAAGTGTCACCCAGCATGTTGTGAATTTTTTTCAAAGGGATTCATGATTGTTACTAGATACTGTGCTAGGAGCAAGTTAGGGACCAGAAGAGTTTACTGTCAGATGAATGTTCTAGACCTTTTGTACCACACAGAAATATTGACTTTGTATGGAAAGGAGGCCAATGATATGGATTCACCAAGGTATGACTTGTTCCACAAGATGTGAGAAGAAAATCTTGAATGAAGGATAATAAAGATGAAATTGACTCATATAAATTAAAATTTTTTCAAGATTTCTGAAATGTTTTGGACAGATGCTCTTCAGTAAGACTGTGTTACAATGGAAGTAGGCTCTTTCTGCACCTAATTCCATTGTAACACAGTCTTTACTGCCTGATAAAAAGTGTCTGCCAAAAACATCAGACAAAATATAAGAAAGAAAAATGTTCATTTAGATGTGTTAACTTATAACTGTTTTCAAGTATGTGTGTTTCAATAAACGTTATCTGTTAGTTACCTTTGTCTTCTACAGTTTGTACTTACAGCACATGATGGCTTATATATGCATTTTTTCAGTATCATTGTTTTTTGCTGAAATAATTTAATATTGTGTATTGAAGTTAGTAGAAAAATAATCTGAGTGTGATTCTAGCTGTTAAAAGGACCAAGTATTTTATTCTTCTCTCTTTTTTAGAACTGAAGTAGGTGAATCCAACCTAAGCAGCAGGTCACAGAGGTAAAATTTCTGTAATCTTTAGTCACTGTACAAATGGTTTTTGTCTCAGTAATGATAACATGTGCAAAACTAATTTAAATGTTTATTTTTTTGTAATTTTCTTGGGTACCATATTTTTTACACTTGTTACAATAAAACATATTTTCTTTCTCAAAAAATATGAAGGACCTAGGACTAAGCTATATCACTAAAAGTATTTTAAACTTTATTTTGTGATATAGTGTTTATAAATCTTCTATTGAGTAATATATCCAAAGCATGAAGGATGTAAACATTATTAAGCATGAAAGCTTTTTATAGTACTTGGTTATACAAAATGTACCAGTCTTTTGTTGGAAAGTTTCAGAATGGTTAATATAATTGCCTTCATTTTTTGTTTGTTTGTTCATTCTGTACAAGCATTATATTAATGCTGAAATGCTATTTCCATTAAAAAAGAAACATCATGAAAATTAAGTTTGGTAAAAATGTTAGTTTGCATAGCTGAAAAGATTATTTGTATTACACTTGATTTTAAACAGTTTAAATGTGTGATGTATTTTTGTCATGTGAAAATAAGGTTTATTGAATGTACGTTTTTGTATAGATTTGGTTAGATATCAGAGTTTTATATTATTCATGTTAATCAGTTTCTTTAGACCTTTCAATATACATTGATAGAATATTACTAATATAATCCACACTGAAGTAAGATTTCAGAATTAGTAAAAAGACTTGTACAACAGTTGATATTTTTGTTAGGTCTCACAGTTTTATTTATTGTAGATTCCTCATGTTGGAACCAGAAGAATTAGAAGAATTTGTTCATGTACACAAACAGTTTCCACTCAAACGACAAGTATGTGAGTTAAGAATCTCGTACATTTAATTTCTTTACTTGAAACATAGAAAATATATTTGTTTGTGTTTTTATATGTTTAAAGAAAGTACATGCTTTGTACCATTAAATATAGCTTGATAATTTTGTTTTCATTATACTATGCTACAAGAGAGATGTTATAGAGGAATAATCTGATACTTGTATATTGCTATCAGTTTTCCATTTGGTCTACTTGAAGTATATCTTAGGCTACAATTGCATTTTGTGAATTTATGTTTATTAGAAATATGTAATTACTAATTATTTTCTGTTATATCTTACTTTACTATGTGTGTGTGTGTGTGTGTGTTTTTTTTTAGCATCTGCTTGGTAACTGTTTTCCTTACTTTACTGCAGACTGTGGTGACTTGTCTTAGTACTATGAAGAAGTCCATGGCTGAAGATGATGCAGTCAGCTGTCTTGTTTTGGGTACAGAAAACAAGGATGTTTATGTACTGGAACCTGATGCTTTTACCATCCTTGCTGCTGTAAGTATTAAAACAATGAATTTTTATCTGAAAAAATTGGAATGATCATAAAAAATGTTTATATAAACATTATGAAAGCTTCTTAAGAAAGAGTAAAAATGAACATAATTTTGTGGGAAAAATTTAAATGCTATCGATGTTTGTGAAATATTTGTTTTGTATGTTTGTTTTCATGTGAAAGTAAAATTCAACAGAATAAAGAATAATAAATTACAAGCAAAACACATTAAACACACACACACACATGTAATAAATTTTACTGGGAGCTTTTTCTATACATTGTAAATCATTATCCAAAGAATCTACTAAGAAAAAGCTGTTAGTTATAGAAAGATACAGCTGATATCTTGAAACTCTTGGCTACATGCAAAATTAACACTAGGATTTTGTAGTGAGTTAGCAGTATAGTGCAGTTTAATGATGGAAACAGTACTTCATCTGCCTTAATTTCATGACATCATAGGTTTGGAATTCATACTTCCTGATGCCTGGGTCAATAAATTTTACCATTATACTAGTTTTTTTTGTTTTTTCCCATTGTACCTTATACTACTAGAAAAGTACTCCATGTAGTTTTTTAGAAAGATATTCAAATTTCTGAAAATTCTGAATTGTAGAAGTCTAGAAATGACACGTGAATGTTTAAAAATGTATACCTCTAAATTTCAAAACAAAACTTTGTGTACAAATAAACACATCCTTTTAATATCCAAACTTTCAATCATACACACAACAAAAACAAAAAATGTATATAAATTAATGCAACTATGTGCCGTGGAAGGTACAACTGCCATCTCTAGAAAGAATATTGTTACGTATTTGCTTGTTTGTTAATTTCTGGTATATATTCTTTCCCAGAAACTTCAGCGATACAAGTCCTTTCTTGATTAACCAAGTTTATTCTTCCTTGATACAAATTTTAGTAATACACAGAATTTCCACAGTCACTTTAAACTGAACAACTTTTATAACACACGCTATAAATCACAGTGATTCACACACTTTACTCACGGTGCCTACTGTTCGCTTGACTTAATTATCTATCTCTGCAATCTATCTGCCTATCTTGCTGGCTTTCTTTGCCAGGCTTATATACTAAAAAAGAGGGCGTCTAGCAAATACTCGGACATTCGCGGGGTTCCCCGATAATTCTAGAAACCCCAGCGTGCATACTCCCAACGTCACGTGACTTCTGCTGTTGTAACAATATGTGGCAAAATAAAAGTTAGAAAAACTTTTAACTTTTATATGTATTAAACAGGATTAATCTAAGCCATGATTTCTTAATCAGTTTGTGCATAGAATATTGTTCATGCTGTGCTGTAAAATCCTAACAACTAATTTTTTAATAACAGTATGATATAGAGGAACAAATATGTATATGAAGAGCTTAGATGCAAAATGTTGTCTATATAATTGAATTGAAATGTATTTTTGTAAAATAAATATGCAGCATTTTCACTATGTCTATGGATATAAAATGTTTTGTCCAAAAACAAAACTGAGTTGTAAAATTTAAAATAAATAATAAAGATAGATTGTTTTTAGGTTTTAACATAGTAACTTCCAATGGTTATGTTTAATAAATAGCCCACTTTTAATTTCATAGAATGTTTTGTGAAAGCTGCAGGAAGAAAAGGAAGTTTTATAGCAAGGTTTCCACCCCACTCATGTTTTTTTTTATTCCCACCTTTTTTGTCATCTCCAAGAAGACCAGGGATTGACACCCTATCATTAATTTATTGTCCTTGATTCTTTTTCTTGATATTCTTTGGTTCAAGGTTGATGGTTTTCCCAGTCTGTTATTGGCATTCTCTCCTAGGATGTGGATGACAAAGGTTAATGTTTCTGATACAGTATTTTACCTCCTCTCCCACATATATAGCTACTAGCTGTGTACCCGTCCTTCGTACGGGTTATGTGTATAAATAATACATTAATTTAACAATTAAT